TCACTCTTTTGCCAATTCTCTTCTCCATCTTGCAAATTAGTTACATGACTACTTAAAACATGGCGGATGGGAGGCTGTACTGACGATTCCCGCTCCTACCCGCATGCATAGTTCGGTCTGTGTGCAGCTAAGGGATGAAACAGAGACTTATAAGATAGTAGAATGACCTTTAACACCTGACACTTAAGACCAGTCTTTCCATTCTACTATTTCATGCATAAAGTTTTAATTTACACGATTCTCCAAAATTAAAACCAGTTATATTTTTTTCGCAAATTTGGCTTGCGTAATTCATTCTGCGACATCCCACTGCTTACCCGTTTGGCGACTTTCGGCTTTTGATCCTGCATTAGCACAGGAACGAAGTTGCGAGATTGCCTGAAAAAAGCTAAAGCGGAAGAAGCTGCACCATTATATCAAAATTAAGCCAGACTGGTGCAAGCAGTAAAAGCAGAATCAAACCGCAGCCTGATGCAATTGTTCAGCTGTAAGCAAAAATTGCGTAATTGACGAAACAGGTGTAACTCAAAAAGAAGGAAATTCACTGCAAATGTGGAGAGAAGCGTAATTTTTCCTTATATTTTTCTCAAAGTGAAAAAGGGTGTAGAATTTTCCACATACTGTTCGTTTGTTTCAGAGTAACATTAACCACTGAAACTGTTTAAAAATTCATTTCTTTTAGTTTGTAGAAAAACCTCAACATGAATTTAGCCACTCGAAAGGAATACGATCGCGTATGGTTTCTTCCTGGACTAACATTTGAACCGAGGTTTAAACAGTACTCTGGCTATCTCAATGGTGTCCCAGGCAATTACTTGCATTACTGGTAATTTCTCTAATTTTCATATAAGGTCTTGAATTTGACAGTTTTAGAAAAGATTGTCAATTTTTTTAACGACGCACTTCCCAAAATTAAGGTTTGTCGAATCTCAGAGAAATCCAGCTGAAGACCCTTTACTACTTTGGCTGAATGGCGGTCCCGGATGTAGTTCGGTTGGTGGGCTTTTATACGAACATGGACCATTTCGACCAAATCCGGACAATAAAACGTTGTTTGAGAACAACTATTCCTGGAATAAAGTGAGTAAACATTTTTCTCTTCTCTCGATTTTGTGTCAGGATTAAAAACTTTACACAGAGTTAAAATCCAGGCAGTAATACGCACTAGAGTTCCGGTGTGAGTATGCTTTTTTGCGTTAATCGTGCAGCAATTTGATCATTAACAATATTGATGGGGGTTGCTTTATAGTCTCTAACATG